ACAATTGTATTACAAACCAGGAGGCTAAAATGACACAGAGAGAGGCAAGGTTTCCACACTTCACTTGATTGGAGAAATGTTTACATAACTAGGCAGTGACAAACTATGCCTGTATATTGTAACTCACAGAGCACTGGCAATAGCTGTTCTACAAAGATGTGTAATAAACCATGCCATGGATCTAGCACACTAGATTATAAAAATTATGTTCATGTAGCCCATAGGAAATCAGGAAAAAGAATAAGTAGAAAGCAAAAAAATGAGATAGAAGAATTAATCCCTAATACAAAAATTAATATATTAAATGTAAATGGCCTAGATACAGCAATTAAAAGGCAGAGACAGACAGTGATTTTTTTTAATCTATATGAAATGAAAGTAATTTATGACTATATTTTATCTTTATGAAATTCACTTCATACAATGTAAGAGGTTAAATGTAATAAAAAATGCCTACCAAAATCCTAGCAAAGGTATTTTTCTAAGCATAGACAATATTCAAAAATTATGTGGACACGAAACTTACAGTTTTTGTAATTGAAATAAAAGAACAAAGTGGGCAGAAACAGTCGAAACCACATCCATCTGTGCTCCACAGCAGCAGCACCCCGAAAACAACCAGGGACACAGGAGTCACGTGAGGGACGGGATGGAACAGACCCAGACACACATGCCCAGGCTTGGACAAAAGTCCAGACCATCCAGTGCAAAAAGCAAAGCCTGGCAGCAGAGGAGGACAGGGCCAGCAGCCGACCTCAGCCCATGCCTATGTGAATGGCAGCTCCAGGAGATCAGGAGCCAGACACAGAATGTAAAGTGCACAACTCTGGAAGAAAACAGAATAGAAAAACCTTCGAGGTTTATGGCTGGGCGCATGCAAAGCCATGATTCATCCCAGAAAAAAATGAGAAATTGAACTTCATCCAAATCAAGAACTTGAACTCTGGAAAACCCAGGGGGAAAGTAAGTGCAGACCCCACAGCTGCCAAGGCCAGTTTTTGGACCCTACAGGGGCTCCATGCAACAGATGAAACATAACACAAGTCGAGGGGGTGCAGCACCCTCGGAGGATGCCAGGCTGTAGCAAACCTGCATGTACCCGCAGGGTGTGCTCCTGCACACACGTATGTTCTATGCAAGCACTTGCCACATGTCCACTCTAGATACACTGTCTCATGTGCAAAGTAAGGAGTCAACACTCGGGTTCACTGTAGCTAAAATACAGAACAGACACAACCTTCCTCATCCTTCTATCTCTTAACATCAGTGTAAATGGGGCTGCCCCACTGGCCTTAGTCTGTTTCCACCTGGCCGTGTTCTCTCACACTCGCTTCCCGGGGAAGGGCCCTTTGTGGACAGAGCACAGGGACGGGGTCCCCAGGAGCAGAGGGGCTGGCCTGGACTCTGGCCACTTGCAGGAGAAGAGGGGCCACCGTTGGGGCCGGACTGCAGGCTCTGTCGGGTGGCCCAAGCCTGAGAAGCTGGACAGGCCTCATGTGTCCTGCAGGGCAGTGCCGTTTGCTGCCCAAGGTCACTGGCACTGGGTGGTGGGTGGCAGGGGCCGGTCCCCGCATACACTGAGCTGCGTGGCCTCCACTGCTGTGCCCCTGCCCCAAGGCGGACCCGTCCAGGGCAGACAGAGATGTGGTCTTGCGTCAGAGGCCAGTGTGTCCTGTGCCCGCGGACGCCGAGACCCACTGCCCCTCCTGCGCCAGCTCAGGGCAGTGCTGTGGCCAGTTTCCTCTTCCCTGCATATTCCTAAGTGCTCAAGCACATAATTTAGCTTTTCTGAAAATCTAAGTCTAAATTAATTATAGTTCTGCTAAAGGGAGAAAAGATATTAGATGCCCAAGCTAAGATAAAACGAACCAACTTTTTTCTTTCTTTATTAGGTTTTAATGGTATTATAATAATTAAGCTTTTCATTAACTTTCTCACACTTACTGAATCAGGGTTCCCTGCAGATTTGAATCCTATTCAACACAGAATCGTGGGGGGCCCTTTCCAGATGGGCCCGGGACGGGGACCAGGATTTTGCCTGCGCTTCTCAAATGAAAACCCTGCAGCACAGGGGGCCGCGCAGGCCGCCACCCCAGGGCCAGGCTCTGCGCCCCCGCAGCTGGCACTCCCCAGCCACGGGCTCGTTCTGGCCTGGGCGCAAGGGCAGCTGTGCTCCAGCGGGACCCCAGGACCGCCCCCCCCCACCAGCTGCTCCACGGAAGGGCCCAGTGTGCTGGCAGGGGTTGCAGCCAGGGGCCCCTCAGGCGCAGGACAGAGGCCAGGAGAGGTCAGGGACACGTGTGTCCCAGCCCATTTGGGTCACTGGGTCCCTCGGCCAAGGTGACGGTCACGGCCGCCGCAGTCTGCACCACGAGGACCCACAGGGGCGGCGCCCGCAGGGCCGGGAGTGTTCGGCCCTTTGGCTCCCCCTCCCTGGCGAGGACACAGGCTCCGGCCTGCCGCGCGGGGCCTCTGCGGACAAGCTCTCGCTCCCCTGCTGCCCAGAGTACGTCGGGGGAGAAGGGGTGGCCGGGGCAGCACCCATGGGAGAGCCCCACCTCTGAGCCCACAGAGCCTGTGCCTAGAGAGGGAGGGGGTGTCACCGGTCACCCTGTCCCAGGTGTGAGCACTGGGTCTGCTCCCCGAGGCACCCGCCCAGCGGGGCCTGGCCACAAGCTCCGCCGTAGCACAGATTCCGGGGCCCACATGGCCGCCCCGTCCCATCCCATGCTGGTGGCCCAGGCCTGGACCAGCCCCGGCTCCAGCCCTGCCCACCCTGCCCCGCCCGCCGGCTCTGGCTCCACCTGTGCCAGCGCTGCCCATGCTGCGGGGTCCTGGCGGCCACCCTGAGGGTGTCCACTGCCGAACGACACCACCAGGCCTCGGGGTTCTTGTGAACAGGGCCCAGGAGGCGCCCTCAGCCTCGTGGCGTTGGCATGCACCCCAGTGGCCGCTGGGAGCGGGAGCCCAGCGTCGTCGCTTCGGGGCGGGGGCGGGGGGGGGGGTGGACGCGGACGGGCTGGCAGGATGGCCGCTCCTGCCCACTCGGGCCTGCTGGTCCCACGATGTGGCATAACCACGGGCCAGAGGGGCTGCCGGGGCCACCGCACGCCACCCCATCCACCTGCCCTCCAGGCCACGGCCCCGAGGCCCGCAGCCCCGCAGGCGGCCGGTCCCCTCCCTCGCCGCGTCAGATCCCAGGCTGAGCGACCTCGTTGGCAATGATTGATCACCCAATAGCTAATTAAACCTGATCCGATCACTTATTATGCAGAGTGGCGCAAACAAACTGAAGGCGCTGTCAGCCGGTGATTGATGGCGCCACCTCTCCCTCCCGGTGCCCGCTTGTCACCGCCAGGCAGACCCGGCCGCGCCGTCACCCCGCCCCGGGCCGAGGGGGGCAGTGGGCGGGGCCCCCGGAGGTGAGCCTGCCTGTGACGGGGCGGGGTCGAGTCCCCCCAAGAGAGGGCCGGGGCGGGAGACCCCGGCGGGGCCGGCGGAGGGTCTCGACGCGTGTGCGCGTGTGCGCGTGCCTGTGTGTATCTGTGCGTGTATCTGCGCGTGTATCTGCGTGTGTATCTGTGCGCGGACCTGCGCGTGTGCTCCTGTGTGTCCACACGCGAGTGCGTGTGCGTGTGCCCAGGCCGGCCCGGCAGGGCGTCCCTCGGAGAGTGACAGACAGGACATTAGCGCGGCCCGGCGGGGCGGTCATTGCTCTCCGTTGTCTGCAGGCGGGGTCCTCCCAGCCGCGCTCATTTATAAATTTTTCAGTTTTAATGTTTTAATTATTTAAAATGCAAATAGGTTCAAGAAGAAAGCGGCAGAAAATAGAAATTCCCTAAACTGATCTCCTCTGAAGGGGCTTTGGGGCCGGGCAGGGCATCCCCAGGTCTGTCCAGGGCCCCGAGTCGGGCACTCAGAGGGAGGGTGGGCCTGACACCCCAAGTCACAGACCACGAGGGACAGTCACGATTGGAGCAGGGGGCACAGGGTGCGGGCACAGGCATCCCGAGGCCCCTCGCAGAGGAAATGACGGCCTCACCAGCCTCCCCGGGCAGCTGTGCCCGGCCCGCGCTGCCAGTCCTGATGACCGACGCTCACGAGGCAGAGGCCAGTGGGGCCGGCGCAGAGCCCTACTCGGCCGGATCGCAGCCCGAGAGCCCGTGGGGCAGCACCCCCTCTGCGGCAGGAGTGTGAGAGAGGCCAGGCAAGAGGGACAGCCCAGCCCGGTAGGGTCCCGTGCCAGCCTCACAACACCGAGCGGGGAGCAGCCTGTGGGCGGCTGTGACCACTGGGGCAGGGCTCTGTGACCCCGTCGGGGCTGTGCCCACTTGTGGCTAGCAGCCAGTCTGCACCCCCAGAGTCCCGGGGAGGGGAGAAGGCACGTGTGGGGCCAGCCTGGACAAAGGACACGGGGACTGCCCACACCCTGTCACGGACCAGCCACCACGCAAGCAAGAGTGGAACCAGGGGACACATGCGCCCCCATCTTCAGCTGTGTGTACACCGTGCCCCCACTGTGCGCAGCCCTACTGCACACGCCCCCCTGCACATGCCCCCCCACTGCACATGCCCCTGATGCACACACCCCCGCTGCTCACGCCCCCGATGCACACGTCCCGCCGCACACGCCCCCACACGCACACGCCCCCGCCGCACACGCCCCCGCCACACAAGCCCTGCTGCACACGCCCCCGCTGCACACGCCCTGCTGCACACGTCCCCACTGCACACGTCCCCGCTGCACACACCCCCGCTGCACACGCCCCTGCTGCACACACCCCCTCTGCACACACCCCCGCTGCACACGCCCCTGCTGCACACGCCCCCACTGCACACGCCACCCCCGCACATGCCCCCGCCTCACACGCCCTGCCGCACACAACCCCACACATACACGCCCCCGCCGCACACGCTCCCGCCGCACAAGCCCTGCTGCACAGGCCCCCGCTGCACACGCCTTGCTGCACACGCCCCCTCTGCACATACCCCCGCTGCACATGCCCCCGCTGCACACACCCCCTCTGCACACACCCCCTCTGCACACACCCCCTCTGCACACACCCCCGCTGCACACACCCCTGCTGCACACGCCCCCACTGCACACGCCCCCGCTGCACACGCCCCCGCTGCACACACCCCCTCTGCACACACCCCCTCTGCACACACCCCCGCTGTACACGCCCCCGCTGCACACACCCCCACTGCACACGCCCCCGCTGCACACGCCCCCGCTGCACACACCCCCTCTGCACACACCCCCGCTGTACACGCCCCTGCTGCACACGCCCCCACTGCACACGCCCCTGCTGCACACACACCCGCTGCACACGCCCCCGCTGCAAACGCCCCTGCTGCACACACCCTCGCTGCACACGTCCCCATCCTGAGCACATCTCTGTCCCATTGTGCACAAGCCAGGCCTGCACACTCACGCCAACGCAAGTGCAAATTGACACGGAGGCCGCAGCGTGTGCCCTCTGGGGAGAGGCTACAAGTTTGGTCAAAGTTCCAAGAGCCGTGGGCCTGGGAGGGGTGAAGGAGGCTCGGCAGCGGCCCGTCAGGTCCGGAGGAGCTGCCCACAGGCCCCCGCGCTGCACCCAGGAAGTGGGGGAGCCCTGGGGTTGGAGTCTGGGCGGTTCCCGCCCTGCTCCCCGAGTCTGGGTTCCGTCTGCACGCCAGTCGCAGCTCCAGCCCGACAGGCGACTTCCCAGCCGAGCGGACGGGGAGCTGAGCGCTGACGCCGGAAGCGGGTGCACCCCAGGGGGACGCGGGCGTCGGAGAGGCACACGGGTGGGAGCAGGGTCCCCGCTTAGACACCCCGCAAGGGCTCTTGACCTTTGACCCTGGCCACCGATGGTGCCAGAGGTGTGATCCCCACCCCCGCCCGGGAGGGGCCCCCAGCGGGGCTGGACAGCCACGGCGGCCACGGCCAGGACCCCGCGCCCGAGGACGCCCGAGGACGCCCGGGGAGCGCAGGGGGCGGCGCTGACGGCGGCCACTAAACTTTCAGTTCAATTAATCTCGAGAAACCCGGCGTCTGATCCCGTGACAGCAGCCTCTGGCTTCTTCGGAGTGACTGCGAGGAAAAATTATCTGACACATATCAAACAAGCAAGGGACGACGCTGGGCAGCATTAATCAAAACTTTCTCATTTCCCGAAGAATTAAGCATTAAATAATTAATCCCCGCACGACAGGCAGCTGTAAGGAGGTCTCCTGCCTCCCTGCTGGTAAGAATTTGTCCTTGTCTAAAAGACTAGATTGATATATTTATTATTTATCAGATTAATCATGGCCGAACATCCCGCTTGGCGGGCGGCGCCCCGCGAGGCCGACCGGGCGGGAGGCCCCACGCAGGCCGCAGACGGGCCGCGGCACCACCCCGGGCTCCCTGGCCAGAGGCAAAGGTGCCCCAAACATTATGAGAGCAAGGGGGGAGGAGAGCGGGCGAGGGGCTGCACCACGGCCGGGGCTGGACGGGCGGCCCCGGCCGGACCGTCCTCGGACCCCGTGGAGCTCGCCGGCCGCTGGCGCGGGAGCCTGGGCCGCAGTCCGCAGGGAGGCCACAGGGACGGGCCACGGGGCAGCCCCGGCGGGCAGCGCGGCGCCTCTCCCAAGTGCCACGACCGTGTTTCTCGGTCGCCTGAGCTTGGCGTTGCCAGGGCTGGGGAGGCCGCCGCTCCGGAACTCCGGGGACACGTCACATGGGCCCTGGCCAGCCGCGCACGTCAGGCCCGCTGGCCAGGGGACCCCCGGAGGCGCGCCTCCCTGCTCGGCCTGCGTGGGAGGCCCTCCCCAGCCTGGCCGCCCCCACCCGCCAGCTCAGTGGCCCCTTCAGGCGTGGCCCCAGTGGGTGTGCGTGATAAGTAGCCTGTGACCGCCCGAGGGTCAGCGTCAGCCGCTCGGCCTGAAGCCCGGGGCCTGCGCTTCCCCGACGGTGGCCCCAGAACCCCCAGCACGGCCCCTCGCACTGAGCCCCTGCGCACACAGGGGTGCCCACGGTGGGGGCAGTGACGCCCCCGGCACCCTGCCCTCCAGCCACCCCCGCCGCGGCCCCAACCCCAGCCCCCCAGGCCCGGCAGCCGCTGCCCCTCTGGGGGACATTGGGGAAGCCTCCCGTGACCGTGCCTGTGGGGACGCCGCCTGCAAGGCCAGGGTTCCCAGGGACGTCACCCGGCTTCACCCGCGGTTCCGTGAGCACGACTGACATCCCAGGCGGGGGAGGTCCTGCCCCTGGGGTGGCTGGCACGAGGGCACAGCGGCCCGCGGAGGGTCTGGGAAGGGCACCAGCAGGGGCTTTGCTCCCCGTTGTCAGCAAACAAGCCCCCGTCTTCGGTCATCTGTTTCCCGTCCCGTTTGATTAACCAGATGTTGTTTCCATCGTGGGACATCGCCCACCGGCCCCGCAGGGGGTGCCCCGCAGGCACCCCCAGGAGCAGGCCCCAGAGGGGGCGGGACCCAGGAGGGAAGAGCCAGAGGAGAGGCCTGGGGAGGGGAGGGGAGGCCCAGGGAGGGAGGGGGAGGCCTGGGGAGGGAGGGGGAGGCCCCGGGGAAGGGAGGGGAGCCCCGGGGAGGGGAGGGGAGGGGAGGGGAAGGGAGGCCCCGGAGGGCGGCCTGGGAGGGGCAGGTGCCCCCAGGAGGGGCCGGGCCGGGAGAGCAGCTGCCAGGGCTGGGGCAGAGGGCCCTGGGGCCAGGAGGCCAGGGGGAAGCCCTCCGTCCACTGAAGAGGACTGAGGGGCTGGAGGGAAGGAGCCGCCCGGGCCTCGGGAGCCAGAGGCTGACGCGCTGCAGGAGCAGAAGGAACCAGAACGACCTGTGAAGTAGTAACAGTGCACTGGGGCCCAGTGAGCCGCCAGGGGCTCAGCACCTAGGAGGGGGGTGTCAGCACCTAGGAGGGAGCCCAGGGCTGCCCTCTAAAGCCCCCCGCCCATGCCAGGACCCTCCCTTGGGGCTGGACTCTCCTGCCCCCACTTATTGGGCCTCTGGGGCTCTGCTGGCCATAGTGCAGCCTTGCCCCCGGGGATCCTTCCTGAACCCCCTGCCCCCGGGGAACCTGCCCGAACCCCCGTCAGCGGCCCCCGCGAGCCTGGGAACCTCTGCTCCGAGGTGCCGTGTCCCCACTTGCGGCATCACCGGGCAGGACTCCCGGTCCCAGGGCAGAGGGCCAGTCCCACAGTCTTGGCCTGCAGCCAGGGCGGTGAGGGCGGGTCCCCAGGGCCTGGGCCGGCCCGTCGCGCCCCAGTGTCAGCTGTGACCTGGGTGCCTGCAAGGTCGTTTCAGATAAAAGGAACCCGGGGGCTTTCTCAGAGCTGGAGAGGGGCCGTGCGTGCACCCCGCGGGCCTGCCTTTCTGGGGGCGCAGGGCCTTTCCTGGGGCTGCCTCCAGCCGGTCGGCACATGGGGCGTCGGAGCTGCACCTGTGGCCCCGCAGCTGGGGGTGGTTTCTGAAACTCCGCGGCCGCGGGGCCCAGAGGAGGCGGACCTGGCGCCACGGCAGGACACACGAGGCCAAGCGCCGACTCCTGGGGTTCAGGGTCAGATGAAAATGTGGGTTCGGTCCAGTAACAAGCAAAAGACCCTCAAGCCTGGGACAGGGCCACGGGGAGCCTGTGGGGGCGGCTGCAGCGGCGCTGACGTGTGTGAGTGAGTCTGGCCTCAGCACACTCAGGGCCTGGCAGGATCGGCGGGGACGGGCACCCTTGCTCCTGCCCGCTCCGCAGGTGACCGGCGGGCCGCGTGGAGGCGGCCACCACGGGCGTCCTACAAGGAGCCCCACTTTTGCGCCCCCAGCGCTCCCCCATGTCCCCTGCTGTCCTCTTTGCTTCTTCCTTTCTGCGAGATGGGGCTGACCTGGCCCTCGGAGGCGGGTCACTGTCATGTGGTCACGAAGCTCTGCCTGATGCTCAACATACCCGTGAAGAAGGCGGGCCCCGGGGCGGGACGCAGGCCTGGCCACGGCGACGGGAGCCGTGCTCGGGTGTGGGCAGACCCCGGGGCTTGCAGACAAGCCACCTCCTGGCCCTTCCACGGACCTACTGAGCGCGAGGTGCGGCCGGCTCCGAACAGCGGCCTGCGGCCTCCTCTGCGCTCTCCAGGGGGCTGACGGGCACCTGTTTTCCAGGAAGCGCCGCCTGCGTGTGAGCAGAGGTCCAGGCGTGTCTCCTCTGCGCATCTGCTCGGGGCCCGATGGTTCTGGGGTCCTCCTGGGTCCCTGCGGCGCAGCAGGGATGTGGCCCACGCGGGGGCTGCCCGGGATCCGGGGGCGCTGTTGGGAGAGATTTAGCTTCCTGTGACGGAAACCCCACAGCTTTCTTACCGCTGCGTGTTTAACTTTCAAAAGAACAAGAGGGGCGAGAAGCGGCTGCGGAATTAAGATGGATAATTAGTCCCACCCTCGTGAGGAGCGGCTCCGGCAGCCGCCGCTGGAGAGGAAGCGCAGAGGCTGATCTTACTTCGGTTTTAAGAAATAGGACATTCATCTTATTAAAAATAAATATTTTATACATGTTTTCATAATTGGCTGCGTCAGAGGTCGCTGGGGGGCGCCCCGTGCCCTCCCCTCCGCAGGGGCTGGTTCCAGAGTTTGATTATTTCTTCATCGAAGTCGTTTCACCACTGAGCTCGAACACTTTGAATCTGTGCCATTAATTTCATCCCTGACCCTGAGCTACATTTTTATTACATTAAAGCGCCTGGGCTAGAGGTGTCTGCGTGGAAACCCCGCACGGGGGGGGCCCAGGACAGGTCTCCTCATCTCTGCTGTTCTCTTTAAACCGAGGTTGTCGGGGCGGATCGAAACGTCCACTGTGAGCGGCCGAGGGGGCCGGTAAACTGAGGATTCCAGGGGACCCCCAGCTGGTGCGGGGCCTCTCCCCACAGCCCACCTGCCTCCCGCACCCTCAGGGCCCCAGGGCCACCCCACGCCCCTCCTGGCGTGGCAGGTGCCGAGCGCCATGGTCAGATCGCGTGAGCGGGGCTCGCACCACGCTCATGAGCAGACACATCGTACACTCAACGCACATGCAAAGCACACACACCCGGCCATACTCACAAGCCACGTGCCCACATGCACACTCTGAGGACACACTCGTTGCAGGCGCTGTGGACACGCCTGTGTGCGCACACACACGTGTGCACACGCTACCCTCCTGTGCACACACCTGCACTCGCCAGCACGCGCTCACGTCACTCCCCCTGCCGGCCTGGGGGTGTCATCTCTCTGCCAAAGGCCGAGGCCAGGACCCTGGTCAGGGGGCCCCCACATTCCCCCTCAGCCCCAGAGCAGAGGGGCCCGCAGCAAACTCCCGAGCCCCTGACCCCACTGGCGGCCCTTTTCTCTGTCTGTGGCAAGCTCCGCGGCCACTTGTCCAGCCCCCCGGAGGGACGCC